TCTTGATCATAGAAGGGATTGAGTTTTTGGCATGCATTTTCTAAATCAAAATTGTTTAATTAGTATACAAAATTAAATTCTAAGAAAATATGTATATATTTTGTAAAATATTTACACACTATTAAATTTTTTATTTATTTACATATTTTAAATTGATTACATAAATAAATAATACTGATGTGCATTAAATATTTTTCTTTACTTAAAATAAAAAAAAAGACGTACAACTTCTATAACTCTATAAATAATAATATTATATGACAACCAAGTTTATAATAAAATAATATTAAGTATTATATGGTGAACAAAAATAAGTAAAATTGTTATTCTCTCTTATATCAAGGAATAAATATGTATACTAAAATCAAATTTATATTAGTATAAATGTGTTAATGAAATAATATATTCATTATTTTACAAACTAGCCCTAACATGCCCATATTTAATTTTTTGACTAAAAAAACCACGCTGATTAAAAGAGGTGCAAAATAGATTATAACCTTATTGTTTATTACACTTAACGTTGTTTACAATTAACGTTGATTAAAAGAGGTGGAAAATAGATGATAAACCTATTGCTTTATATATACTTAAACGGACAAAGACTGTGAAAATAATTCATTTAATATGTCTGTACCGTGCATCGCACGGAGTACGTACTAATTTTTCAGAAGTCCAACAGGGGTAACAGTGCCCCTAAGCCCTCTTTACCACTTTCATATTTTAATTCGTATTTCATTTTATTTAATAAATGATGCAAATTACCAAGAAAACACATCATTCAAATTAAATGAATGATAGATTTGCATAAAAATCAATGAAACTACACATAATTTTCAAGTGCCCTCATGCTAGTAAGAACACTTCAATGAAACTACACATAATTATTATGTTACAAAAAGATTATTCCAAAGTTTCATAAATATATTTCTCAAGAAACTTTATGTTAAAAATGTAAGTATTATGATTCACTACCTATGGAGCAAAATGATAATACATTTTTTTTGTGGTATGATCATAACATTCATATTGTTGAGTGAGCAAAACAAAATTTGATCATCGCCACCACCTTTTTTATGTTTTATTGGGATCTATTGCCAATTTGTTGTCCTAATCGGCAATAATTTTAAATCCACCACGTAAACAGAGAGCCAATCATATTCTGCCAATTGGCATCAATAATTATAGAAAGGGACCAAATGGTATTGGCTCAAATTCTTGAAGATCAAGCCTAGCAGCAGANTGACTCAATTCTTGAAGATCAAGTGTTGAAAGATGAGGATATGATTTACTAGGCTTATCTTGTCTTTGGTGGTTTATGTCATGTTTGGATCAGCTTTACTCTAAAAAAATATGTTGGCTTGTTGATTTGATTTTACAAACACCCCTTTTTCTCCCTCTTCTTTTTCCAAATTTTTGTGGCTCTAAAATGAATTTTTCCTACAATTTAATAATTGTGATAAATAAATAAAATGTGTATATATCCCTGTGATTTCTTTTTCCTTGCCCATGCAATGGTACAATTATAGTGATGAGATAAAGGGAAAGTATATCTTGTGTTCCATTTTGATTCCTTTTCCTCACTTTTGTAGTATTGTGAAAAGTTGTTGATCAAATGTGGTGGCTCAATAAAGATGAATGCGCTATCATATTTCACAATATTGTAGTTAATGGCTTGCATACGTGATAATAAAACTATATATTTATTATCATTATTATTTCATTATTGACGGCCCTTCCATTGCCACATGAAATCTTGATTTTAGTTGCCGTCCTTCACCATAAAACTAGGATCATGTTTGGTGATTAGCTTTTCTTTTTTAATGGAATAACTATAGCTTATATATTGATTGAGCATTAGTTTCATCCGTTTTATATGACTTGTAATTTATTTACTTAGGTTATCGTTAGTTTTACGTATTTAAATAAGCTCGGGTTATTCTATTTTTTTCTTTTTTTAATCAAAAAGTTGGATCTTATTTTATAAACATATCTATGTAGCTTTATAAAAACATTAACTACTATTTTTATTTAAGCTATTTTATCAAATACTTTTATTTTGTCAGTTAAGTTTTCAACCATCAGCCATAAAAGATGAAACAATAAGCTTCAAATTCACTAATAAATTACCGAATCACTTATAGTTGTCAAGTAGTTTTTCAACTAGTACCAAACATAATGATTATATTAAAATATTTGGTAAGTAACTTATAGTTAATAAATGGAAACGTTGTAAACTAATCAAAAAAGCAACATCATTAATATAATGTAACTTATTGACGTAGTGAAAGCGTAAACGATTAGTGTAATCAACAGAAACCTCTCAATATATTTTTTATTTCAATCAAAACACAACTACATCCAAGCAAAAAAAAAAATAAAAAAAAAATAAGAGTATTAAATAGGACTCTACCATAAACTTAGGACTCCTAAATCCCTACTTACCATAAATTATCCTATCAAATAAATGACTAAAATAATTAAGTAACTTCTCTACAAAGTAATAAATTAAAATAATAACAATAAAATAAATCTAATAAATAATTAACTAAAGATGACAGATGATCATGCTTATCCAGAAAAGCCAACGCAATCTCGTCTTCATCATTCTCCCATTATGAAAAAGATTCGTCTTCGAATCTGATGTAATTTCATCTTCATCATTCTCCCACTCATGGAAAAGGCCCGCCTACGAATCTGATGCAATCTCATCTCCATCACTAAATCAATCTGATGTTGAATATTATTTCATGGATACATTAGCGCAAAACCACATGTAATCTTCATCCTCAATTATGCCTCCATAAATTTTCCTACATTGCTCCAATCAAGCATGGATCGCAACCCAGAGCTTGACACTTTTGTTCACAAGCTGTGCGCACATCGCACTTGACATCCTCACCAAGTCGTCAACCACCATCCCCTCCACTGCCAATGGGCAAAAACTTCTCCATTTGATCAGCGTACTTCATAGAGTCGATAACTTAGTCATTAGAAAGAGGCGGACCCTCATATTCAGTTGACCCCTCGTCATGAAAAAGAGGTGGCCCCTCATATTCGGTCTACCTCTCGTCATCAAAAAGAGGCGGACCCTCATACTCGGTCGACCCCTGCTCATCCAAGAACTCGGCGGCTTCCAGGCCCCCTATAAATTCGGGGATCTCGACCCAGAACGATGATATAGAACGCCCATCATATATCGGTGAACCGTCCCTCATACCGAGCCGCCATTGTACCAAACGAGTTTACCTCAAAGACAGTATCCTCAAGATCATAATCACCGAAGAACGATAGAGATGATTAGGAGCGGGGCGCCCCACTAGTGCCCCGACCTCGTCCACCGCGAGCCCCCTGCGGGCACTACGTACTTTTTTCGACGCGCGGTTCATACGACCACTTTGTGTAGCGGCTTGTAGCGCCAACCTCATGTCCTCAAGCCCTACGGTCAGATCCGCGACTTGGCGTCCCTACGCCTCGATCGCGGCGTCGCTCCTGTCGTCCGCAACATTGTTTCGTTTGGGCGGCATTGTGTAGAAATCGTACTAGTCTGCTGATTCTTACTGAGTAGCGAAAGCGTAAACGATTGAGAGAATCAAGAGAAAACTCTCAATATATTTTTTATTTCAATCAAAACTCAACTACCTCCAAACAAAAGAGTAGGAGTTTTAAATAAGACTCCTAACAAACCTACTTACCATAAACTTAAACCTCATAAGAAATCCCTACTTATCATAAACTTTTCTACTAAATAAAAGACTAGAACTTATTTAACTTTCATACCAAGTAATGAACTAAATTAATGACAATAAAATAAAATGAATAAATAATTAACTAAAGATGATAGACTTTGATGCTTATCCGCAAAAGTCAACGCAATCTCGTCTTCATCACTTATTTTTGTATTTACGAGTTACGACTATATATTTCAAATGTTGTTGTCTTTGAATAATCAGAATAACAATAAGAGAAGAAATGATGATTGATTGTTTTAAAAATTAAAAACATCAAAATAAAATGTAATCCAGTTGTTAATTTATTATTATATTGTAATTTGTAATTGTGAAAGTAATTATTAAAGCTTTAATTAATCAACTACAATTAATTGTAATTACTTATATATTCGTGTTTGTAGGGTAAAAATTGAAAACTTGTCATGAAAATACATAACACAAGAAGCTAGTTCAAACATTTGATGAGGCCTCAAAACTTTAATTTAATACGAGCCTATCATTAGCAAAGTGTGCGTATATATATACTTACTGTCGCGATATTTTAAATATTGGTGAAGAAATTCTCATTCCACAGCATGATAATTAATATTTAACAGAAATTATTTATTATTTATATTGTAATTTTTCGTGTATAGTCTTGATATGGTAGATAGATATAACGTCACCAACAATGGTATAAACGATTAAACACGAATTATTTTAATATAGTAATCCAAAATGTTTGGAGGCCTTGGACAAAGTGTTAGGACCGACCAAGATTTTTATACTTTATTCTGTTTTCCCTTCACGTGACTTGAGCTCCAGCTGCAAAATCAAATACCAAAGTTTTACAATCAATCCAAAACTTCCATACGTCCAAGCGGTCCAACCTATAATATCGTTATATTATCGATTTACCGAATATAATACTATTTGTAATTTTCTATATATATATATATATATATATAATTACTAACAAAATAATTAATAAAAATATTTTAATTTTTTTTTCAATTTCGATTACAAAAGTCTATTATTAATATTTTTCTTATCTTACGGTGTTTTAAATATAAATAATAATATATCTTTTAGAAATAGTATTTAAAAATTAAAATAATTTTTTTTAAAAGATAATTTTCTTAATAAGTACATAGTACACACGACTATTTTACTAGTCGATTAAAAAGAATTTCAATCTTTCACACGTGTGAAACAATATGTGGAGATATTGCCAATTGCCATACACACAGATAAATGTAAAGAGATTAGGAGAGTGCAATATAATCTCCAGGAGACCAGAGGCTGGGCCTGGGTACTATGGTGCACATAAAACTGTCAAGTAGGCCTATTGGTGATGGCCCATTGGAAAAATTTAAGCCCAATCAATAACCCAGTACCGGCAGTCCCATTTAATTGTTGTCGAAAAACGACTCCCTCTCTCAACCTCGTCTTCTCCGGCAACTTAAGGGTTAGGCTTCCATCTCTCTGTCTCTCTCTCTCTCTCTCTCTCTCTCTCTCTCTCTCTCATTCTAACACAGCTTCATCAGTTTTACCTTGATGTTTTATTTCCTGTTTCCTTTTTGCTGTTTGGTAGGATTTTATATGGGAAAGTAATATAGGGCTTTGACTATTGAACTGTGTGTTAATAGTTCTTCTTTCTTTGGGGGATTAATGATTCTACTTGTTTTTCCTTTTTGCATTTAATGTTTTTATTTTTTTGTGAAATTTAAATATGCTTTATGTGAACCTTTGTTTTTTCCCCTGAGGTAATTCGCGTGATTTCTGATACTTTACTTCTATGAATTTCTTCATTTCTTGTGCTTTTATCTAATGCAGAATGTGTTGCTTGCCGTGAGTTTCCAGTGATGAAAGTATCTGTTTTGGTTCAGTCACTGGTCTGTTGGTTCTACTTTAATTGTCATTTTGCTGAACTGATCTAGTTTGCTCGTGTAAGGCTGGTTTATTATTTTCCATTGAAGGACTTGTGATGCATAATTGACTTTCAATTTTGATTTGCCTACTAGCAGTGCTATGTTTTGCTACGTTGTACAGAAAGAATAAATCGTAGCTTATCGAAATCAATCTATTCTGAAATGCTGGCATTTGTCTTGCCCTATTTCTGGTTATAGGTCATTTTCGCTGTTGTAAACAATGGTGGAAACACTTTTTGAAGATATCTTTCGAGTCGATGCATTAAACCCAGATGGCAAGAAGTTTGATAAGGGTAAGATTCCGCGAGTTCTCATCCTTTCTGCACTCTTCTTCTCCTTTTTTTTTTTTGTGTGTGTNACTGAGTAATGTAGATGCAAGCACAACATGGGAAAGAGAATATAAAAATAAATAAAGTAGAATGTGGAGTAGATGAAGTGAGGAATGTGATCAAATGTCTTTATGAGCAACTGCCTCGATAAAATTGCAAAATCGTGAAAACTATTTTAACTTGTTTCTGAATTTTACAGAGATTCCTGTTGAACAATACAACCATATTATTACGGGCCAATGACTTTAAATGGGTCCTTGCGATTTCTGATATTGAATATTATCGCAAGTACCTTCTTAAACAGGATGGATCCAGGGATTTTGTTAAGAGCAGATTTTCTTGTTTGTTCTACGTTGTGGTTTTTGGTTCGTAGTGCCTTACACACAGAAATAATTGGCCAAGATAAATCCATGATGCCAAATTACTAGTAACTTAAGATCCTTTAGAATTTAGAATTACTAAAAGCTTCAAACGGAATTGATAGTATTTAAACTTAAATGTTATTTGTGCTATAACCGTTAGTGTAGAAGTAAAACAAGCTTAATGCTGTTACGTCACGCAAAATTCAAAGAAGGTTTGTTACTTGGTATAAAATATTTTAGGTGTGTACGTTTTGAAAATATTTATTTGCAAGCCTTAGTGCTTGTTGAGTACTTACTATCCAGTAATACATAAAATCTCCTCCTTGGGTTCTGATTGCTTTTATGCTTTCGTGTTTGTACAACATGTGGCCATACCAGGATTTTAGCTTAATGTTTTTCATCATGGAACATGTTTTGACATCTAATTCATGATTTTTTTTATTTTTTTTAATATAGTGTCTCGCTTTTCTGCTAGAAGTGAGCAATTCGATATGGTCATGCACCTTGATGTCAATACTGAGATCTATCCCATGCATGTTGGAGAGAAGTTCATGATGGTATTAGCGTCCACTCTAAACTTGGATGGAACACCAGACAGTGGTTATTATACGCCGGTATAGTTCGAATTCTGATTTAATTTGACTTTCCTGAGTTTTCTTTGTCCGAGGTTCAGCTCATGTTATTTTACATACGCTTGTTTTAGGCTATATAAGCACTGACTTGGCTGAAGTGCCCACTAGTACATGCAATGAAGGAGACGTAATATTCTCTATAGCCTGTGACTGAACAACTTGTTGTCTATATGACAGAAAACCCTTTCCTTGATCACATGTACCTGCTCTTGTGATGTTCATTTAGTAGATGATGATTTATTTATTTCGTTAGTAAAATCAATTTTTTCTCAACCGTCTCCATCCATCTCTTTCTTCTCCATTTATCACTGATGAAACTGAACAAGTTTATAAATTATAATATTTTTTAACAACTTGATTGTCTGGATGTGAATAAATAATTATATTTTAAATGTAAAAATAGTTGTGAGATATGTGATATGTCGGCAAATGCTGCCAAGCTATCATGTTATTCTTGTTCTCGTATAAATGTCGTTGCTCGTGCAAAAGATTTTAAATTTCTAGTCTATTATCAATTTTTTTGTCGATGATCTGATTTCAGGGAAACAAGAAATCCCTTGCCGATAAGTTTGACTATGTCATGCAAGGTAAACTGTACAGAATCTCAGAGGAATCAAGAGAGAAGCAAGTTAAAGCGTATGCTTCTATACCCGTTCAACTATACTCTATCACACTTTACATTTCCTTTTGTCCCGTCAGCATCTTATTTTCTGGCTTTATTGGCTCCAGTGATATATATGTTTCGTTTGGTGGGCTCTTGATGATGCTTAAGGGCGACCCCTCCATTGCCGCTAGATTTGAGCTTGACCAGAAGTTGTTCATACTCATTAGGAAGGTTTGAGGTACAAATATGTGTTGTGCTATCGAAAAACAAACCAAATAAGATGATTAATATGCTTCTCGATCGTCCGTGAGTACTCAGACAGTGAGAATAACAACCGTTCATGTGAGAAATTGCGAATTAATTTTTCGTAACCAATTTATGTAGTGATGGCTTGTCCAATTAATGATGTTGTGATGTGTTACCATGACTCTATGAGTACTTGTTTTTGTATGTATGCTACACGGCCGACTCAAACTTAGTCTAAAATCTAGTGAAAATTTGTCGTCCCTTGAAATGATCAGTCAAGTCGAATTTATACAGCTGGTTAACAAAATAATCTTTCACCATAAAAACTTCATTACACATGTAGCTCTTTACATATATTGAAATATTGAATAGATATTTCAACCTATGATTTTAGCATTTTTCAATTTGATTTCGTTCTTATTCTACTTTCTCATAAAATAGAGGCATTACTAAAAGTAAAAGATTTATTCGTTGTTGATAGTTATTTACTTAATCGGTGGATAGGAACATACTTTGGATCGAACTTGTGCGGAATTAGAATTGACGCTGTTAGTAAGGTGCCGTTTAATCCTTTCTCATATTATTGCTATTATTCCCTACTTGTCCTCTGAATTCCTCTTCTTTAAAGAAGTGAAGAGAAGAGTTTCATAAAAACTCAATACTCATAGTACTCCATACACAAACATATTTTTTTAACATAAAGGACAATAAATTAAATTATACGTAAGAACCACAAACACACACACACATACACACACAATTTTGCATTTCTCAGTAAATACAATTAACTAAACTCTCCTATGTGATCTGCAGCTATCCAATAGCTCAATGATATTTTTGGCAATTCCTGAAGAAACTCCATAAACATATCCAACATACCCAACAATAATCTACAGGTGAACAAACACCAAAATAAATTAAGGCCTCCTAATTTTGTATGTCTTGTTTTCAAAGTCAAATCCCACCATCAGCAGTCAAAAGGCATGAAATTAGTTAGTAGTATAATGCACTGTGTTATTATTTATTTGATGACCTAGGAGCTTTGACTGTATTGTATTTCAATATTTTGGCTTTGCTCTGATCAACCAAGATCTCTTCGGGAAATAGTTTGGCGAGTTTCTTCATGGTAGCTTTAATTATTTCTTCATTACTTTGTGAGATCCATTCATTTGTCGGTGCAAAAACAAACTCCAACATCAATGACACATTAAATGTGTAAATAAGTAAAAGGGCCCCCAAAAATAATATAGTAATAAAATAAAATGAACCAAATAAACAACACACAAGAAAAATAATGTGAATCTTGATCAACAGCGATGTAGAAACAAAATTATTCAGCGATGTAAAAACAAAAAACCAAAGGCAAAATTGCATTTTGTGCCCTGTAACTACGCGTGTGTGGCAAATATGGACACCTTCTTTTTGGTTTGGCAAAAGTGCCCTGAAACTTGTTAAAACCCGAAATTCGTGCCCAATTTACCTACAAGTTACCGGATTTTACCGGTTTTTCGTGTGGCAAACAGGACAGTAACTTGTTAAAATTTGAAATTTGTGCCCAAATTGGGCAGTTTTAACAAGTTTCTAATAGAAAACAGAATGTAAAACGCAAAGAAAACTCATGCTCAAGAAATCAAATCTCATTTTTACTCAACAATGGCGGCACTATTCACGTACACATTACTCTAGGTTTTGCTGTGAAGGTAAAGGTGCTTTTATACTATACATGTATGATGGATAAAATGGACAAGTGTCCTTAATTCCTATCTAATCCAATGGCTGTAGATGCACTGAACTAAGAGTTGCTTTTGGGACCACACATGCTTGCATGGCCATGTGAGTTTTGTCTTCACGTGCTGCTTTCCTTTCTTCTTGGTTTGACCAGGAAATCTCCTTCATTTCATTTTGCAGAATCTCAAAACTTCCAACACTCCCCCTCAATTCGATCGAGGATATACTTGTTACTCCCAATTTGTTCTTCAGCCGAGAGAAGAATTGCAGAGAGAGAGGCTTGGTAAAAATTTCACCAATCTGTTCAACTGAGGGTATATGTCTCACATGAAGGTGTCCTTTCTCAATCTTTTCCCTTACAAAGTGATAATCAAGTTCAACATGTTTTGTTCTCCCATGCAAGATAGAATTAGATGCCAAAAACACTGCACTTTGGTTATCTACCCAAATCACAGGAGTTTTAAATAACTTCAAACCAATTTCTGTAAGCATAGAATGAATCCAAGTAACCTCTGAGGCTGCATGTGCTAGACTCTTGTACTCTGCCTCTGTGCTCGACCTTGAGACTGAAGTTTGCTTCTTTGAACACCAGGATATTAAGCTTCCTCCAAGAAAAACACAGTAGCCTGTCACAGACCTTCTGTCATCAACATCTGCTCCCCAATCTGAGTCTGCAAAGGCCTTGAGATCAAGATTATCTGTCTTCTTGAAATGCAAACCATGGTCCAATGTTCCAGACAAATACCTTAGGATTCTTTTAACAGCTTTCCAATGTGAGTCTAGAGGACAAGACATATATTGACTCACCTTGTTCACAGCAAAACTGATTTCAGGCCTAGTCAATGTGATGTACTGTAATGCTCCAACCACACTCCTGTAGAGAGTTCCATCAATGGTAGGATTCCCATCTTCTTTTGACAGTTGAAGAGATGATATCATGGGGGTTGGTAAACCTTTTGCTTCCTCCATATTGATCCTTTTCAGTAATTCCAAAACATACTTGCCTTGATTGAGATGTAAGCCTTCCTTTGTTCTGGATATCTTAATTCCAAGAAAATGTTCTATCTCACCAAGATCTTTGACAGCAAACATCTTTCCCAGGGATTCTATGAATTTTTCAATTTCCATAGTATGAGTCCCTGTCACCAAAATATCATCAACATATATCAAAACAAACAAGAAACTGCCCTCTTTGATTTTAAAGAACATTGAACTATCAGCCTTCGAGTCCTTGAATCCCATCAACTTTAGAGCCTCCTTAACTTTGTTGTACCATGCCCTTGATGCTTGTTTCAAGCCATACAAGGCTTTGGAAAGTTTGCAAACTAGATGCTCATTTCCTGCCAATTCATATCCTGGTGGCTGCTTCATGTATATGGCTTCATTCAAGTCTCCATTAAGGAAAGCATTGCTCACATCCAACTGCCTCACTCTCCAGTTAAAGTGAACTGCTAATGTGAGCATTATTCTTATGGTGTTGTGCTTGATTACTGGACTAAAGGTCTCTGTGAAATCAAATCCTGGTTTTTGTGAGTATCCTTGAGCAACTAGCCTAGCCTTATACTTAGCTATGCTCCCATCTGACTTTCTTTTGATCTTGAAGACCCACTTACATCCTACAATGTTTCTCCCTTCTGGTGGTGGCACCAAAGTCCATGTTTTGTTTCTTTCAAGTGCATCTAGTTCCTCATCCATGGCTGTTTTCCAATGCTTTAGGCAAAGAGCATCATTTAAACTTCTTGGTTCAGACTCTTCTTGTTTAATGTTGTAGGCTTTTGGTTTGAAAATTCCTGCTCTTGCTCTTGTGATCATTGGATGCTTAGTTCTAACTTCTTCTTCTTCATGTGACCTTTCTGGAGAATCATTGAGCATAGGCAGTTGCACCACAAGTGGTATTCCTGCTAAACTGGCATTGCTTCTCTGACTGGCTGTAGTTCTACTTCCTTGAGAGCTAGAGCTTCTACTCCCACTGGCTCCATTTTGTTGTCCATTTGGACTCATTTCTTCTTCAGAAGATGAAGTTTCCTCATGGTGTTGCTCTCTCACTTGCATTTCCTTATGTATTACAGGAATACTAGGAAGATTCCATGCCTTCTGCAAATCACCCTTCTCACTTTGACCAACCTGCTTGTCCTTATAAGGGAAGATTGTTTCATCAAATAACACATCCCTTGTGATGATGATCTTTCTGTTGGGCAAAAGCACTTTGTATCCCTTGTACTGGTTACTGTACCCTAGAAAGGTTGCAGCACAGGATCTATACTCCATTTTGTGTTTATTATAGGGTCTAAGATGAGGATAACACAAACATCCAAACACTCTCAATCTCTTGTAATCTGGCTTGTGACCATATAAAATTTCAAGAGGGGTCTTTGAATTCAAAGGCTTGCTGGGTATTCTATTCAACAGATAGGCAGCTGTAATAAAGGCATCTCCCCAATAACAAAGAGGCAAATGAGAGTGTGCTAAAAGAGACAATCCCATATTCACTATGTCCCTATGTTTCCTTTCAGCTAGACCGTTCTGTTGAGGGGTATATGCACATGATATCCTATGCACAATACCATTCTCCTGGAGGTACTTAGATAGAGATTGATATTCTCCCCCTCCATCACTCTGTAGAGCCTTAATCTTCCTATTAAACTGATTTTCAACCAAGGCTCTAAAATTCAGAAATGCACTATAAACATCAGACTTGGCTTTCAACAAATATATCCAAGAAAACCTTGAGTCAATGATCAATAAAACTCACATAATATGCATATCCATTCAAAGCTTTAACATGACATGGTCCCCAAACATCACTATGAATCAATTCGAGAGGATAAGAACAAGTGTGCTCAGAATGATCAAAAGGAAGAGAGTGGCTTTGGCCATAATGCATGATTCACATAACAAATTGTCATTCCTGGCCTTATAATCCAGGTTACAAGATTTCAAAGCCTTCTTAACATTCTCATAATTAGCATGACCGAGTCTTTGATGCCATAAGTCTAGGCTATTACATTCACCAATCTTTGAAAAATAAGAAAAGGGCTGATAACTAAGAACTTGCAATTTTTCTTTATTCGATGAAGAAGGCTCAGGTTTGGGAATGTTGTTGTTCTTCATGCACTGCAGGTTGAAGTGATAGAGACCCTCTTTAAGTATTCCCTTGAGTAGGACCTCTTGTGTTGCCTGGTCCTTAACAAAACAGGTATTTGGGTGAAACTCAAAATATACTTTATTGTCTCTTGCAAATTGTGATACACTGAGGAGATTTCTACTAATTTTGGGAACATGCAAGAGATTTTTAAGCACAAAGATTTTTGAATGACCAGGCAGTTGAATAAGGGAATTACCATAATGAGAGATAGATGCTCCTTCTCCATTACCCATTAGAAGCTTACTTCCACCATTATACTCAGCTGCAATGTTTAGGTTCTCCAATTCATTTATCACATGGTTGGAAGCTCCTGAGTCTGGGAACCAGCTGCTTTCAGAACCTATATCAGAATAGGTATTGTTTCCATGAACTTGTACCATGTTAAGAGTGGGGTTCCTTCTAGGAATCTGTTGGCTGTTCTGGTTGTTTCCTTGATTGCTGTTGGGCTGAGATTCATATCTATACCAACATTTGTCTGCTGTGTGATTCATTCCATGGCAAATTTGACATTGAGGCCTATTTCCTTGATTTCTTCCTCTGCTTCCTCTATATGAGCCTCTTCCCCCTCTACCACTTTGATTTGGATTTCTGTTGCCTCTGAACTGAGTGAAATTCTGGTTAAAGTTTCTCTGATTCCCTTGAGTGACCACATTGGCATAAGGCTGGGAACCTTCAGAGTTAACAACAGCATTTTGATTCATCTCGAGTCTGGACTCATAGGTGAGAAGAAGGGCATGAACCTCAGCTAGGGTGTGTGGTGGAAATCTAGATGTCACATTAACAACAACTGAGTCATACTCAGGGCCCAATCCTGTCAAGATGTGAAGAATATGATTTTGTTCTGAGACCTTTTCACCCGCAGTGGCAAGAATGTCACAGTGGTTCTTGATTTTGTTCAAAAATTCCCTCATAGACAAGCCTGCCTTTTTCATAGTCTGAAGCTTCAGTTTGTACTGCATAATTCTAGCAGAGGATTGACTAGCAAAGTTGTTCTCAATAGCCTCCCATATCTCTTGTGCTGTGTTTAACCCAACCATCATCACCAAAATCCCTTCACTGAGAGAAGACATTAACCATGAAGCTAAAAGTTGATCCTGTCTTACCCAAAGAAGATATTCATTGTTGATTTGGCTTTCATTTGTCTCAGGATCTGTGGTGAATCTCTCAGGCTTCTTTGCTTCACCATTGATGTATCCTTCAACTCCATATCCTCGTATGGCTGTGATAACTTGCTGCTTCCATATTAGGTAGTTTGTTTCATCCAACTTGGTGGATATCAGCTGACTATTGGGTTGAACTAGAGTCCCTAATGCCGCTGTTATGGGGTTTGCAGTCCCCGTGGATGTGGTTGAGCCTGTAGATTGTTCCATGGTGCAGCAAGAAGAAAAACACAAGAGAAAGGAAGGTAATCAGAAGCAGGATTAACCCGCTCTGATACCATAATAGAAAACAGAATGTAAAACGCAAAGAAAACTCATGCTCAAGAAATCAAATCTCATTTTTACTCAACAATGGCGGCACTATTCACGTACACATTACTCTAGGTTTTGCTGTGAAGGTAAAGGTGCTTTTATACTATACATGTATGATGGATAAAATGGACAAGTGTCCTCAATTCCTATCTAATCCAATGGCTGTAAATGCACTGAACTAAGAGTTGCTTTTGGGACCACACATGCTTGCATGGCCATGTGAGTTTTGTCTTCACGTGCTGCTTTCCTTTCTTCTTGGTTTGACCAGTAAATCTCCTTCATTTCATTTTGCAGAATCTCAAAACTTCCAACAGTTTCAGGGCACTTTTGCAAAACCAAAAAGAAATTGTCTATATTTGCCACACACCCCTAGTTACAGGGCATAAAATGCAATTTTGCCCAAAAAAAAATAATGTGAATCTAGAAAAAAAAAATCATAAAATTTGCAATATATAAAGTTATTCACGAGATGATTCAATTTAATTGCCATTATTTTTCTTTTATTTATTATAATTAAGTTGCTGAGCTCATTTATTGGCGACGTGTTCTTATTTCATTGGTCATTGTGGTAACACGTGAACAGTGTGATCGAGCCTATATGTACTGGGGTCGTCTTCTTTGCTGAGCAATGAAAATATTGAGCGAAAAAAAATATCTGAAATTGTTCCTATAGATCTACGATTGATATTTCTACTTTCTGCAAAAGTCGCAACATTTTGTTTTTTATATATACAGAACGAAATGTCGAAATCTTTCTCGTATACAAGCTATACTTATTAAGTTATTAGACAAAAGATTGTCAATTTTATCATTATTGTATAATTATTATATGCGCAGATGTTTCATGAAATATTAGGGTTTGATGTGAAATTAATTCTACTATAATTAATGAATAACGTTTCCGGTATAATTCTCAGAAGTGCGCACACGTGTGAAACATCAGTCAAATGCCGGTGCCGAAAAGCGGTAAAACATCCGCTAAGATTTTTTTTTTTTTTTTTTATAAAAAAAGCGAAAGCAAACTTGGCTTGGCAATGATATCATTCAACTTCATGAACTTACTCAGCAATAGTCAACCTGGTAATTTAAGTGTTGTCGAGAATATTAGTGATAAAGTTTTTAAAACAATATATTATTATAAAATATTATATGATACAACATTACCATTGTTGGTACGTATGTTGTTATTTCGTCAATCTAATATTTAGTTGTTAATTAAAAATAAATGTCCTCCTTAGAAAAAAGTTGCTGGTTTGAACAGATTTTATTTGCAACACATTCAACTTAGCCTTTGAAATAAAACCTACTTATTTTATATAAAAATTTTAATTTATTTCCAAGTCTGATTCCGAAGCACGATTTTTTTGCCACATAGACTTACGAAGCCTGAGAGCGTCACTTAAGCTCAACGAATTCTGCAATTTATATATATGGTGGATAAGAGTGCATAAGAATGCCTATATTAATTAATTATGAGTGTGGATCGACTAACTACTTTTTTTTTTTGTTAATAAAAACGCATATATATGTAGTCATATTTATATTTATATGTATTTTTTATAAATATGACATTTGAATACCAGTAAGGCTTGAGCAACAAGTTAAAATCAACCTAGACAAAAATTATATTAACAAAAATCAAAATAATATGTAAGAATGGATAATAAGGTACTTTTTCAAGTGTAATTCCAACAACTTTTTTTACTGGAAACATCTTTGCCTTGTAAGAAATTATTGTAACCATATTTGAGAATTTTAAATTGAAATGGCTATTAATACATTATTATTTCTTATGATCATACTAGACATTGTTCAAGACAAAATAGAGATGATTATTAATTTGTATAGAAATTTGATAAAATTTTATTTGCATGAGACTTTCATCTGTCACGGCTCCTAAGTGATCTTGAAATAAAAATTGTTCAATTTTGAGTTGTTGCAAAACAAAAGGTTAAATTCTCTAACCACACAAATAATATAAAAATATGGACCTTGGAGTTGATTTGTGAATCATTTAGGTTTGATTATAAATATATTTCATCATTGTCAATTTAAATCTAAGCAAACAGACAAATCGGGCAGTCAATTTAAATCTTAATCAGGCTTGTAGGTCATTCTTGATATAGATTGAATTTCGGCTTGACAAACTCACATAAAAATTTAAAATAAAATAAAATAAAAAAAAAAGTCCTGATGACCAACCTTGGGCCCACCAATCCCAGTTGAAACGATAACTTAGTTTGAATTTTGAGCCCAACAACACAAGTGTGTATTGTCAATTTCCACTTTACTAAGTCAAAAGTCAAACCCCTCAAAGCCACAACTGCAACAGTACCTCAATAAATTAAAAGACAAGCTTGATTTCCCAGTTTAATTATATAATAAATAGAACAAATAGAAATACATTATAAAAGAAAGCGTGTTCGAACAAAATGGACAAAAGAATATATGAAAACTACGACCACACAGAAACAAAAGGAAAATNAATAGAACAAATAGAAATACATTATAAATTCAGAATTAGAATCCTACGTTAATAAAGTTAAGGATATCAGTACACAGTACAGTGCATGTGCTTCTCTGCTCGTTTTTGTCTGCAAATTCAGAATTAGAAAGAGCCGAATTGTAAGACCAAATAGGTTTCTTGATTTTCACATTTGCATGCCAACTTTAAATACCTTTGCCTACTTATTTAAATTTTTGCAACATATAATATACACATGTGATTTGTGCACACTACACACATATATTCATTAATTGATCATTGAATTAATATCCATATCGACTGCATCATCTTTTGGACTTTTGAGCTCGTTTGCCTTTGTTCGTTTTTTCAAACTTTGGAACTGCCGAAAGAGAATCTAAATTACCCTCCCAGGCAAGTTTCTCATTCTATTTTTATTAAAAAAAATTTCTTTTAGATTTCTTTATTTCAAAACAAATGTTCTATGTACTTTGCTTCGTGTTTGAGAAACATGTGAATTGGCAGTTATCTTGTTTACCAATTTACAACATCTTCTAAAGAGAAAATTGCAATTTTAGTCTAGTAACTTAGGTTGTTTTCCACTTTAGTCCAGTAACTTGGACCGATTCAAAATTGGTCCAAAAACTTCTAAAATGTAGTTAAATTAGTCCAATTCCGATCCCCGTCGCCGGAATCCGATCGGAATGTGATGAGTTGGCAATTCGGATTCCGGCGACGGGGACCGGAATTGGACTAATTTAACTACATTTTGGAAGTTTTTGGACCAATTTTGGATCGGCCCAAGTTACTGGACTAAAGTGGGAAACAGCCTAAGTTACTGGACTAAAATTGTAATTTTCTCTCTTCTAAATTGGGTTGGAAATTAATTATGTTTTTACAAGCTTTTACTAGGTATATTTTTTATGATATCCATACATAGGATATGTGGGCAAAATTACATAATGGTCCAATATAATGAAGTCCCAACATCTTGTGTTACTATATTTTTCCAATTGTTTGTACTCTTTTAAGGTTTTTGGAATATAAAAGTATGACTACAGGTTCGCAATCTAATAAAAGATACTAAATAATTGAATATTATTTTTTTCACTTTTTTTAATTTTCAACTTTCCTACTGATAAAATCGTGGGCATCAAGTGATCTAACATGCACGCGTGCGCATATATATTTAGTTAAATATATTTGTAGTGTTAGACGTGGCCAAAATCCAATTGTGGGCTTTTGTCATTTTAGTGAACTGAAATTGGCCCTGGAAAGACTAAGGATGGTTCAAGAACTAATGATTAGTGTCGGTTCAGGAAATTAAAAAAAAAAAATGTAAAAATAAAAGTTTAAACTAGAATTTTGGCGTTTAACAGTCGGTTTCGGTATTTCATTATTTGACATGTAAATTTAAATTTGTTAGATATATTGTGCTTCAGCAAATTGAAATTATTCACCTAATAAATAAATGCATTGAAGATGATTAATTAAATCAAAGTGTTTTTAACATTCATAGTACATTCATTAAAGATAGATTTAGCATTCTATGATCTAAGCTTATAAAAGCTAGTGATATGTATAGGGGTAGCTCATATATATCCGAGGAATTAAAGATAGAATTAAGTATCTAAAACCATAGGCTTGAGCTTTTAATTTGGGCCCTTCTACCAAGCTACAAAGCAAGTAGATGATGAAACTCTTCAGATCAAAATTAATTAGTTCCCCGCTTAATTATCCTGGATTGATTAACTAATAATCTTATGCGTAACGTGACTAAATTATTGTAAATTTTATACATTTAAAATTACCCTATTCTATTATCATTATTTATGTGAGGCTTCCATAAAAAATTATTGTAAATTGTATACATTACCCTATTCTATTATCATTATGTGAGGCTTCCATAAAAAATTCCATGCTACACGTAGTTAATTGTTTTCAAAAGATTACAAACTAATTACTAAAAACAACAGAAACTAAGCAATTTTTCATCAAGTATTATCCAATATATGAAATTAAAGGGAATTAAGTTCGATCTCAATATTACTTATGCATANATCAAACTCTCCCCAATTCCCGGTCGAGCTACCACTGGGCCCGCCCGACCCATGATCATCGAACCCCACAAAACCCTCCAGATTCCGACCATCATTCAAAGGCATCATTGCCACCGAAGAAGGCACATCACTACTCGACGACCCCTGAGAACCACCAAAACCGGGCCCCACCACATCAACATAACTCCCATAACCGAAACCACTCGCATTATTATAATAATAATAATTATTATTATTATTATAATCGTTTTTGCTGTTGCTGTTGTTGCAGCGTAGGAGCTCTGCATAGTGTTGTACATTGGGGTAGTTGCAGTTGTACTCTCGAGGGACGAAATTACGTTGGTTTTGAGGGGCGGTTGTTGTGAGGTAACCTAGATGGTCGGACTTGGGCTGGACTCGCTCAGGAAAATTGAGCTTTGCCTTGCTTCCCTTGAACCCTAGGGCGGCCTCGTCGTAGGCCATGGCGGCGGCCTCGGCCGAGTCGAAAGTCCCGAGCCAGACGCGGGCCGCCTTCTTCGGGTCGCGGATCTCCGCGGCCCACTTGCCCCACGGACGCTGGCGAACCCCACGGTAGTGCCTCTTCCTTGTGCTACTTGCTGCATTTTTTGTGTTTGTTTTTGTTCAATTTCCACATCATCATATGATAATTAATTAATAATTATATATATGGAATCATCATGTTATGTAAATGTTAGTTCAATTGAGATTTGTGTTGTTACTTGTTTAAGATAAGTGACATGATTAATGAAAATATTATGTATAGAGAATCTTGTAATTAATATGCGTTTGGAATAATATTTTGTATGCCAAGATTCATCTAAAATTAATTAAGCATTCGTTAGCTAGCTAGCAACTAAAGGTCAAACAAATCCAATATGTGAGAAATTGATCATAGCATATAGTATTAATTAAGTAATCAAATTAGCGAGAAGGAAATTGAGCTCGATCGAGCTAATTAGCTAACTTGGTTAGGATAATTTTTGATTGCTTAATTTTTTTATATTGGTTTTTTTTTTCCCGTATTATCAAGTTAAAGAAATCAAATCTTGTAATTGTTAAAAACCCTGTTCTTTTCTTGAAAGATAATTTTAGCACACTCCACACACACACACAAAGTATATACATACCTTGTTCCTTTGTGGGCTGGGGTTGGGTGTGGGGTGGCGCAGCTATTTGATCGTGGGCGTGAGCATCGGGCGGCGGGTAATGGCTGCCGGAATAACCAAGAACTTGAGAAAGAGCGGTGACCATGGCTGAATTTTCTTGTTCAGATCTTGCCGAGTAGATCGGAAAATGCTCCTCTTTAGGCTCCGATCCATCGGGCGAAAGGGCCCTTTTCCCGCGACTCGAATCCACTTTCGCTTTCGGGTCCTTTTTTTCGCACTCTTATTGAATTAGGTTGAGAAGGACTTTGAGCTAAGTGTGTTTTGTAGAGAGAGATGGAGAGATAAAGATGAGATATTTAATTTAAATGAAGAAGGAGAAAGACTGCTCATGTACTACTACTATATACTTTTGTAACTAGGGTTTCAATTCTAACTTTATTTAAAAAGATATATATAAATATATGTTCTTATGTTTTGATATTTAGTGGGGTAATCCTAATGAAGTTTACTCATGGTGATGGAAAATTAGTAGCTAGATTGCACTCGTGAAAGATTTATAAATAAAGTTTCTGTTATTTATTCGTGGATGAAGGTAATTAATCTTAATGTTGATATTCGATGAGACACGTTATTTATGTACTCAAATGGAAAAAATGTGGAGGGCTGTGTTGTGTGAAAAGGGATGGTTTGGTCATATATGCTTTTGCAAAGC